AATTAAGAGGGGAAAAGAGGCGAGAACGGTGCGCAGCGAAGAAACGGCGATAAGAGGTCGGGGGGTCTAAAAGAACGAACGAATGAAGGAACGAACACCGAGAATCCCAGGGCAGGTGTTAAGCACCGGGGCGAGGTAGTAGCTCCGGGCTTGTTTCGAAGTTCTCCCATGCCCTGTGCTCATCAAGCCTCGCAAGCTTTAATGCTGGAAATTTTATGAGTGTTGACGAAGCGTTAACTGCCCTGCCATGCTTTTACTTTATCCGTCCCCTCCTTTCCAACCCCCCTGCCCTGGTTCGCCCTATTCTTCACGGCTTTACGGCCGAGAAGCGCAAAATATAATTTAATGATTCCCGATGCGTTAAGTCAGAGGGGGTCTTGAAGTTCTCAGCGTAATTACCGCGGCGTAGTTGCGTCCCTTTGTGTCAGGGTTTTCGGCGGTTTCCCACAGGTTACGACGCTCGGCGGCCCGATATACGCTAGAGGGGGTGGAGAGGGTTTCGCTTGCGCCCTTGTCTTCTCGTAAACGCCGCCAAAGGTCTAATGAAACGTTAAATTGGTTTATTCCGCGTGCCGTGGAATCCGCGGGAGTTTAATTCTCTTCAATTATCGTAAAGTGCTCGACGCCCGAGCAAAGCGGCCGTTATTTTAATACGCGGCGGACGCCGGGCCAGCCGCCCGCCCGCTTTGCTCTGCTCGCTGTTGCCCGCCGGACCGTCCGACAGCTAGCTGTGTCTAACTTTAATTAATTTGTCTCGTTTGCGCGATAAACGGAAATGGAGATTCGCGACCGCATTGTCCGCGAGCACGGGTAACGCCGCCCCGCCTATCCGCTTTCCGTTTGCCCTTCTTCCCGCCTTTTGTTTTCCTGCGACCCACCGAAGAATTTCGGTACCACGAACCATCCTCCATCCCCACCGCCGAGCATCCCCTAAAACCAGGCTTTCACTTCCGTCCCGTGTTTTCCATGGATTTCTCGATGTAGGTACGTGTCTGGTGTATTACATCGAGGAACACTGTGTGCGTACAGGAACGATGTTCAAAAGTTTTCTTCGAGAAGACTTCTTCTCATCGACTCCGTGATGGGATTTCGTGAAATTTAACAACGTACACTCGAACGATACGCCCAGGTACACCCTACAGTTTCGAGGGAGGGGGAATACTCTATAACAATTAAGGATACTATGATATTACTAACGTAAATTGCGAATGTACCTACTTTCCCGAATGAATGCAAACAATGGCCTCCTGTAGAATTCGAACAATACCCAAACGTTAGAGGGCGGTTCCGTTAAAATTTCAGCCTTTAACCTAACGCCAGCTCGCCAGCCAGCCCACCACCTCCCGACAATAGCAAAACGGTGGTCGACGAAACTAATTTCTAGAGAATTTGAATAACGCGTGCACGGGAGTCCACGGTCTGGTTTTTCCACGGGTTACTCCCTCTTTTCCAACGCGTACAAAAACCTTGGGAAACGGTGGTGGGCTTCGTTAACGCGCGAGCTACCTTACGACTTCTAGTCGTTAAACGCGTTACCATCCGTGACGCGCGGTAACACTTTGTCTCTCCTTTCTTCTCGCCGCCCTCAACTACCCTCTTCACCTCGTGCTCACCAACGCTGTTTCTCGTACCATCTAGTTTCTTTTCGCGGAAGTTAGTACGCGGATACACGCGGGAAGTACATTGCCCCCATCGTGTACTTTTTGCAATACATTAAGCCGTATATTTTATGGGATATACGTAGCGACGGCGGTGGTAGCGTTCGCCGTATGGCGGCGGTATATACGCCTTCCAACGGTATTGACGGAGGGAAGAGGGTGGAGGAGGAGGAGAGAAAGCCCGCACCGCGAAGACACGCGAATAACGTTAAGGGAGCGAGGCGAGTGACTGATGCTACTAGAGGGGAATGCTTTCCGCTTCGAGCTTGTCATTCTGCCTCCCCGTCCCCTACCTCCAGCCACCTACCCAACCCTTATTCTCTCACCCTCTCCCCAACAGCACGCGTACAGCCAGGTCACCATTCTACGCCGACGCATCTGTGTCGTGATGCAGAAATGCCGCCATAACGCCAGGTCAGAATTTCCCTTCGACCCCCTTTTTTTTCTCTTCGTGATCGTGGCGAACCCCCGTTTTATTATTTTTCCCAACTCTTGTGACGGGGACGGTCGGAAAGTCCGATAATCCTGCCCCGATGAAATTTCCCCCTCTCGATCCACCGGTGGAAAGCCAGACGAGCGAAGGGTGTCGCGTCTGGCGGCGGTTTCCTCGCGAGAATCTTCGATAAGATGGCGGACTTTCGCCGCAATAGGACGCGAACGGACCCGGCGACACGGCGACGAGCACGCACGCGATATCCCCGTTTATACGTGCGATGCATACGGGGGCAGGCGGTTATTCCAGCCGGTAAGATCGACGAACGTGCGACTGCCGGCGCGGTATGGGTCGCGCACCGGTGCCGGGGTCTAAAGCTCGGGGTACCACCGCAGGTGTAACGCGCCACTTCCTCAACAAGACGTTCCGTATTAACTTGTCATTCAAGTAACGTCGATTGTCGACAGCCACTTCGGTGCACGTGGGTCTAAATATAAGAAATCTAGCATCTTTGAGAATTCGAGAGGTTTATCGAACTGTGGTACAAACGAAAATACAGAGTGTTTAAAAATTCCGCAGATTTGAAAGGGACTTCGATAGAATCATCGGGGTATTTTTCATTTTTCTTGATATTACGTTCTTCAGGGTGAAGAGTACGGTAGGTTTACCGTTGAAGATTTTATAGATATACAAGAAAATAGGGAATTGGACGTTACCCTTTAAGGGGTGTTTTCACTCCGAAAAATTTAATATTATTAAAAATGAAGAATTCCCTTGTCCTTTTAATCGAGATCCCCTGCAAACCTCAGAGGTTTAAAAAAAATCGGATGTTCAGGGTACGGAAGTTTTCATGTGAACTGTGTATCCAGGTGAAACGTGTCGCTGTAAGAAAATAGGGAGGGGGGCTTGGCTCCGTTTACGGACGGGAACGTTCGATTTAATCGGCGGAAGCGTGTTTTTCAATGTCGTCTGGCCGGGACGTCGGGAATCGGCCCGCGTCGCGCGCGACCCGGCGAGTGGTCGGGGTCGTAACGAATTTTATGGAGGAGTCTGTCCTCGGAATACACGGGTATGTATGCATAACGCATGCACGTACACGTAACAGGGTGTACGATACAGGGCGAAACGATACCCCGAGCGTGTATGCAGCCGGCTTTCCTGCATCTAATGTACACTTTTCACGTCGCGGCAAACTGCGCCGGCCGCCGTAAAGATAGTCGGGCAAGTGCACGCCGGTATTACGTGACGTGCCGCTCGATAATGATACCGCCATTGCGATAAAAACAAAGTGAACGTTACGTGTACGTGTACGAAGGTATATATGTATATGTGTGTACGGACCCGTATGTAGGTAGACGCCACGGAAAAATAATGATAATAGGTTACATCGTGCGTTAGCGAAACAACTTCGCTGTATAGAAACTGCCCGTTCGTCGCCTCCCCTCTGCTCGTACGCTCGTACGTTTGCGCCGTTATCGCGAATTATATTTCGTGAATCGTGACTCCTCATTAACGTCTGGATCTGTCGTCGACATTTTAGTTTTTTATCCAGCGTGCAAATACACTTTTCTGTTTATGGAAAGAAGCCCCGCGACTCGTTCCACGACAAACCCTGTCTCGCGCGCTTTTTAATCCCCGACGTAATTTTCCAAGGTACGCTCAGATGGACGGTAGATTAGAAAATTTTAAAAGAGCTCTTAAGCTGCGTATCCACTTGTTGCGGATCCTTGTATCGTACACTGTTGTGTATCAATATGGGCAGACGTTGTATCGTTGCCTATAAATATGTACCTTATGGAGATACGATACGAGGATACGCAACAAATGGATACGCAGCTTAAGAGCTCTTTTTAAACCGACGGATCGGTCGGTTAAATTCGATTAACACTAGAACCACCGATGATACCGTATATCGATTTCTATTGGAATGATGAACATGGCAAATGTTTGAAAATATAGAAATTTATAAATCAACTAATTTCTTCAGTTTCGAAGTGGAATAAAAGTTGTAAAATATCAGAGAAAATACATCGTTATGACATTTTAATGATCGTTATAAGAATGTACCACCCAGTCATTTTGATTGCTTTGGTAGTTCTAGTGTTAAGAACCGTATGATCGAGTGCGCGTTGAAAGCCGTAAGTAGTATAGGTCGCTTCATGCACAGACCGTCCATTATAGGCTCCGCATAAAATGCATACGTACGTGCATCGCGCGTTACACAGTTTTCCACGCACCCACGATAAATAATAACACTATCCAGAACCAAGAATTGGTATCACCAATACTTTCGGAATAGTATTTTGTGGTATTTCACCGTCTGCGATCTATTAACCGGTGGAAGTTCTCCTCGGTTCAACGGGAAAAGTCCACGGATCTCGCGGAAACTTTTCGATAGAAAACGTCGATGATATTGATCCCCCCCTCCTCGCGTATGACCAGACACGAGAAGCGTACTTCGCGAACAGAGCAGGTGCGCGGCTCCCAGCGAATGAGATGGATGTGCTGGATGTTCCCCATATCGCGTGACCACTCGATCAACGCTCCCGCGAGTTGACAGTGACTTACGCACTCTGGCACTCGACGAGATATGACACGCGCCACCGGGCTTCACCCTCGCCTATTGTTACCTGCCCCGTTATACCACGGCCAAACATCTTCGATCTATCCCATCATCCCATATTTTTCTTCCCCTCGACCACCTTTACCGTCGAGTCTCGCGTATCCACTTTACAACCGCGCTTTCGATCTCCCCAGCGCACCTTTAATCTTCGTTAACACAGCTTATCAGCCGGTGATTTACGCGGTTATTCGCGATTCTTCGGCGCGCCTGGAGGAGGAGGAAGCTTCGAGTAACCGCGTAGGGAACGTAATTGGAATCGGTGTGGGAGTATCATGGTCTTACTTACCGGTGTCTAAAACCGTGTACCGTGGATTGGTCGTGTCGATGGGAAGCGTGTCTCGTACCCAGGAAATGATAGGTGGCGGCGAACCGACCGCCGTGCAGAGTAGAACCGCGTTGTGACTCACTTCGACCACCTTGGTCGTCGGCGCTTGCGATATTAACGGGAATCCGTTCGGTAGTTTTTCCGCTGTAACAGAAAGAGTATCGTAAGCTGTTGGTAAATAAATTTCATTTTTTGTTCAGGATGGTTTGAAATGTGTACAATTGTAAAAATCACCACAATGGAAAGTATAATGAATATGTTAAACCAGAAATTCAGTTTCCAAGTTTTCATCAATTCCAACATCATCGTTTCAACCGGACAAAACGAAGGGAAGGATTAAAATCGGGGGTGGTAGGTGCCCGTGAATCGTAGGCATATGGAGATCGTGTCTCGATTCGTCGATTGTAGGGTGGACGCGAGGCACAGAGTTACCGGCGTACGGATTGAAAGTATCGGGGCAGCATAGCCGTCCGTGGTCCGCATAGAATCGGGGAACGGGCAGAAGCCCAGGGCATCCCGCGGTCAGTCCCGCGGGATCGAAAGTTAGGAAAAGCCATTGGAACTGCGAGGATATCCCATTCCCGTTTCCATCTCCCAAGACGGGGGAAACAGAGGCTTCGTCTCCGTGAAGACGGTCCACTGATACCCCCCCGAGTAGACGCGACTGGATATACCGGTGTCCGAGTGTTCGAGAATGGAATCAGAATTCAATATACCGGAAAAAGTTCGTAAAACGGTTTATAGAGGGGTTGGAGGGAAGGAATGGAATGACCGGGGGAAATACTCGCGACGGTCGATGCCTCGAAATTTCTATTCTCGGACACGCCGGGCAAGAAGCCGATCGATTTATCCTGTTTCTCGCGTATTCCGGAGAGCACTCTCCGCGCCCAGCAATTCCGACACGGTGCATTCCCCTATTCGAAGGGGTCTAATTGAAAAAATTGTAAAATAGAACGGCGAGGAACCTTTATTATGTTTTTTTTTTTTTTTTTTGTAATTCGAACGCAAAGTTGCCAAGTCGCACGCGCGCGTGGTAGATGCTGCTCGAAAGTCGTTTCAGGCAAGAGAAGATTAATTTGACTTGTTTTGAGGAGCGTTGCGAGGCCATATTGCCCTCGTTCTTCGGCGGCGTAATTACAACGATACCGCGTTAATCCTTAGGGTGAACTCGTAGTTAAATTTAAGTTGGAGGATGTTGCACTCGAAGTTTCAGACAACTTCGGGCAGTTCTTGGTTCCGTTTCAATGGGGCGGCTTGGTAAGCCGCAAACTAACCCCACCTCGACGGTTTTCTTTCGATAATTAAATCCACCGATAATTGTGCCACGTGAGATTAATTAAAGGCGCGTTCCAATTTCCATTTTTTTCTTTTTCGCATCGAGGGAAGCTCCCGACACGACCTCCCGTCGTCGTCATTATCTCGGGGAGATATTCGACCGCCTACGATAATTGCGGGCCCGAAGCTCGAAAGTATTCGAGACGATTCCCGCGATACTCTCGTCGTGAATTGGAACGGGTAAAGGACGACGTCGATGCCTACGGAGCCAAGAAATTGGTTCAAGCCGTCGTCGACAAATTATTACAAGGGCCCCGCAAACTGGGTGAAAGTTACCGAAGACCTGGCGATCAAACTGCAATTACCATCGTCAGCGGCGGTTCAACCCCGTAAATCGCTCTATTATAATCTCGTCAATTAAAAGAGCAATCGGAACTCGCCAGCGCAAGCCTTCCCGAAGTTGGCTGCGCCGTAGGACTTTCGCCAACTTTGATCTGGCCGTCTCTCCTCCGCTTGTAAATACATTTTAAGTCGGGAATACCTGTTGGATCGCGTTAGGATTCCACCATCGCGTGTCCGGGAATCGAGCAGTACGGCAAACTTTTCGAATAAACCGAGGCATCGAGTGGTCTACGCAACTCGCGCCTTCATGATTTTTATCGGGTTATTACGAATTCTCGAACTGCGACGACGACGAGTCTATCGTTTCTGGCACGAACAATCAACTTCCCCGCGAATATATACGTACATTCAGAGAGCAAGAGAGAGATAGAATGAACGAGAGGGAAAAATAGAGAATCCGTTTCAATTAAACGATATCACTGACCTATAAAAATTGAAAAAAAAGAGGCGTTGCTTCCTGCTCGAACTCGGGCGTGCGGAAGGAAACGTTGACCCAAATAAATTCTTAAAAATACGACGCCAAGAGAGAGAGAGAGAGTTCCTTCTGGAAACGGTACTCGCCATAAATCTCAACATAATTTTAAAGACACGTAAAACGATGCTTCCACTCTCTTGCGACTACGTGAGCTAGCTTGTTGCATATCACTGCCGCAAACAACTTGAAGGCGAGCTCCGTCGTTTCCCACGTTTTACAAATTATTCAGAGTTCTCGACGAGAGCATTACTCCCCCTCCCGAATGAAAGGGTAGCGTCGTTTGAATCGGTTCCTCGAAGACTCCCGACCGAGACGAGTTTCGGGAGCGACGAATCGTGACGGAAAAGATCGTTTTCTCGTCCCGCGACAATGGCCGCGTTTCCTCGCCGAGATAAAGTCACCGCGAGATTCAGAGTAAAGCTCGAGACGCGTTCGTCTTTCCGATTTTTCCTTCTGCCCTCGTTAACGAGCACAATTAACGCGGTGGAATCGTTGGCGTTTTCGTCGAAAGGTTGCTCGGCTGACGCCTCCTCTCTCCCCCACGAGCGAAGGGGTGGTTCATCGTCGAGCGACGAAGCAAGGGGGTTAAACCCGTTGAATTCTGTCAGATTCAGTCGAGCTGCCGTGTCATCGCGCCCCGAAGAACTCGCCGCCTCCGTCGTCCTCGTCGTTCTTCGTCCGGTACTTTTCAGCGGGGATTTTCTTCCATTGTTTTCTTCTACGGCGCGCGGCTTCTTTTGTCCTCGTTATCGTTTCTTTCCCGCCCCCTTCTCGACTTGTCGTCGTCGTTCATCCTTGCCACCCCCCAAGAGCGGTCGGTCTCACTCTCTCGGCTCGCGATAAACAATTCCTTCCCTCGCCCCGTCGCATTTACCCAACCACCACCACTGACAATACAACCGGCGACGACGAGAATCTACCATCAAACCTATTGTCCTTGTCGATTTCTGGATTCGCCACACCTCTCTCTCTTTCTACTTGCGTTCTACCCAACGAGATTTCAACGGTTTCTGGATTCACAACCGAGTCGACGATCTCGCGTGAATTCCTCTTCTTCCTCGCGGAATCAAGATTCCCGTTGTTCTTCAGAGACCGTTGCGTTCTCCACCGTGATCCTAACGACGTAGCGCGCGGCGCACGCCCCACGTTCGCTGGTCGATCGAACCGTTTGCAACCGCGTCACGACGATTTTCACGGGCTCGTAGAGACGACGAAAACGGCATCGTAGACTGTATAGACACCACCGCGAGGTGCACGGTAACGAGGAGGCGATTACATCGCGGGGACTCGTTTGTGCTCGGAGGTCTTGTGTGGGGACATTCCTTCGTTCGTTCAGTCACGTACCGAAGCAGTGACGGTTAACCGTTTTACGTCGATGCGCCCGGCAATTCGCCGCTAGGAACCGTCTAAGATAAATTATCGATCCCTTCGTTTGCTTCAGCTTGTAGCACACGATTGCCTCGCGAACGTTTCTCCGTACTTTTCCTTCATCTCTCTGTCTCTCTCTTTTTATCGTTGAACGTTTAAAAGAGAACGTCTCCCTTGGCTCCATCCGTTTTACCCTAGTCGAGGCAATGAATTCTCGAGAAGACACGAAGCGTCATTCTAGGCTTCCCGAGTAAATGGAAAAAAGCACGGGGCGAACAGTCGCGAATTCGCGGCGAGAAAATCAATTTCCGTACGTTTTTATTTTATTTATCGAAAGGGATGGAGGATGGACGCGAATAAATTGTAATCTTCGCCAGACGGTATCCCCGTTATTAAGCAACAGGTGACTCGCCTCGCTTCGTTTCCGCTCGGCGAAGCGCGGTAAGATGTATTTTTCGACGCGTCGGATTTCGCCGGGGTTACACCGTAGGATTCCCACGATGAAAAACCGGGGACGGAATCGAGCGGAGAAATGGCCGCGGGCCGATCGAGGCAAATGTAAAACGATTTCGAGTCGTCGATCTCTCGCGAATCCTTGGATCCTCGAAATCTGGACGTTGTCAAATTCTTTGAAATATCCGACGAATCTCCGTGTCACGGTTATACATTCAGGACCACGCACGCCGTGTACTTTTAGTTTCCGCGCAGGGGCCGAAAATCCCTTTCAACGTGATACGGAAATAATAACGATCCCGCAGCAGCCGCGTGTTCCCCGGGCTGCCAGGGAATTTAAAGATCGACGGGGCAAAGCGCCGGTGGCGGCGCATAAATAACGCTTAGGGATCGGGGCGGAAAAAAAAAATAATACGTTCGCCGGCTGTCCGCCGCCGCCGCGCTACATCTACATTTTGATGGGAAAACGTGACTGGCAGGACCCGAGCGAGAATACACGTATATTGGACGGTATGTAAAAACGGGGCCAGTGGTGGAAAGGTTGGGAAAACGAAAAAGAAAACACAGAAAACGGTGCACACGACCTAATTAGAAAATTTCCTCGGGAATCGATTAAGAGTTTTCGTCCCGGGATCGAAAGTTGGGGATCTCTCGTTGGTGGCCGTAAATATTTCACGGTAAAATATTCGCGGGTAACTTCGCCCTGGGAAACAAGAAAGGTTTATACGGTGGAGGGGGGTACCTCGGGAGCTTATCCCCGAGGAACTTATCGCGGTAGGAAGACGGTGCGGCAACCGGCTACGTAGCCGTGTCCCCTGGTTCGTTCGTTGGTTCCGCGACGACAGACACCAAAGATGTTTCCCTCGCGGCGCGATGAAAATCTTTTCCCGGAAGCTTCACAGAGAAAACGGCCGGGAACCGTGACAAGCACGCACTCCGATAAATCGCAATTTTCTCTTACCGGGACAACGGGCGGTGTCGCATCGTGCGCGAACAAAGCCTTCTCTTACCGTTACACCGTGGCTAGAAAAAGACCAGGGACAGCGGGGGTAGGAAGGGAGGAGAACGAGCACGAGGAACCTTTCGTCGGCCCATTCTGCCAATTTCCTTCGGACTCTGTTCACCTTAACCAGAAAGCTCTTCTCTCTTTCTCCACCCTTTTTTTTCTCTT